CACACCGCCCAGCTTAGGGCTGCAGCCCCATAGCCCACCAGCAGCCAGCTCCAAGGGGCTGAGGCTACCCTGGCTGGGGGTGCACTCAAGGCCCCTGGGACCAGAGCCCTCAGTGAGAGAAAGAGGGGCAGCACCAGGCAGAGCATGGGCAGCAGTGTCCCCCCAACCTCCGGCAGCCCTCTCAGCTTCAGCAAGCACCAGAGGCCCCCAAGGCGGACGGCTGCCTCCAGCCATAGGCCAGGAAGCCCTCCAGGGAGCAGAGCCCCCAGGGTCCCCTGAAGGAGCCAGAGCAAGGCCAAGTCCAGCAGCAGCAGGCTGGCCCAGGATCTCAGGTCAGGGAGTGGCATGGTGTTATCTAGTGGGTTAAAAAAAAAAAAATTACATCAGCCTCCCGGTAAACTGTGTTACAGACTGCAACTGAACTCTGTAAGGTTTCTTGGCTTGTGATCTGAGTCAGCAGAGTACGTTCGAACCGTGGAACTGTGTACGGTCCAAGAAAGAGTACGTAATTAGGGAAGTAGAGTCCCAGTCTTTGTCCCTTTGAGCCCTATCCATAGACTCCCATTGCACTCAACCCGTTGGTGGCAAGACCCCCTGGGGTCCCGGTGCCCAACACTACATCCCTCCTATCACAGTACATCCCTCCCCAGGTGGCCCTGCCTGCCCATGGGAGATGGAGAGCAGATGGGGGCGGGGGAGGGGCAACTGTACAATTACACTTAATCTAACTGAATGATGGATTGCTATCCCATCTGTAAGAGCTCCCAATAAAATGATGAACTAAAAACAGAACAAACTTTCCCCTGATCCCCCTGCCGCACCCCAACCTCAACCTGCACCACCGAGTGGCACCCAGTCGGGCAGCCCCTGCGCGGAGGTGCCCCGTGTCGGGAAGGGGGCGGGGGCTGGGAGGGGTCCCCTGCGGGCGCTCCACGGACTCACCGGGGGCGGCTTGGGGACTGCGGCTCCAGCGGTCTTCGGTCCGGCTCTGAGACCCGCCGCTGCCCTGCGCTGGCTGCCATCCGGGTTCGGCGGCTTTCGCTTTCGCTTTCCCCTTCGTCTCCACGCCCGGTCCCGGCTGCGCGCGGGGACCCCGAGGGGGCGCGCGACACCCGCCCGCCGAGCGCAGAGCCGGCCCGCCGCGCCCTGGAGAGTCTCCCCACCAAGCAGCCGCTGCCCCTTTGCAATAGGAAACGACCGCGCTGTGCGCGCATGATCATTACGTAAATTGTGTTGCAATGACTGTCACTCTTTGCCTAATGTTGTCAGACTTCCAAGATCTGGACCTGTTGCAAAAAAAAACGGTCTGGTTCCTTGCATGCCAACAAGCAGCTGTGGAAGGGAGACTGCGACCAAGTCCCCTTAGAAGAAGCCCAGCAGTCTGTGTGATCCCATGATGACAATCCTAAGAATGAAATATGACGTTGAGCTAACATTGTGAACACCTAATTTGTAGAATAATCCTCTATAGAGGACCGTGGGAACACAAAACCCATCTGCATAGTTTCTACCCAGATCTCCTACAGCCTTGCTATCAGCTAGAGATGATTGTCAAGTTCATTATGGGGGATCCAAGCACAGTATCATATAATAGGCCAGCCCACCTCCCTCTTGACCCAACCTACATTTGCTCCAGGCTTAAATAGCTCTCACTTGCTCCACGACAGAAATTTTCTTCTCTGGTTTTTAAAAAATTGTTTGGTGATTTTTACTCTTTCTTTTTATCCTTATCTTATTACTATAATTACTTGTTTTTCCCCTTTTCTATAATAATTTTATTGTCATTCCACTATATCCGTCCACATACAATTCTGTCGTTCTGTCCCATTGGGTGGGGTTATACAATCATCAATGCTATCTGCCCCCCTGGGCCCCTCCTCCCATGCCCTCCAGGAAGCACCCCTCTTGTTCCTGTCTCCAGGGGCCATCCATAACTCACTTCTTTCTGGTTTGTTTTCTTTTTGCTTTTTTATTGTTTCTGTTCGATTTCCCAGTGTAAGAAGCACAGAAAGAACGGCTGCATGGAGACCTCAGTGCAAGGGTTTTTGAGGAAGTCGGGGAAGAGGGCGGAGGAGCAAACAATGAATGCAGGAGGGGAAGGGAGCTCTGGAACTGGTTGTGTTGATGGATACACAACTCTAAAAGGGACTTACCCATGGGCGTGTGTGTTATGTGAATTTCATATCAAGAAAACTACTAAAAAAAAGAAAGAAAGAAACCCACGGTGATCAGCGGCTACCATCTGTGAGAGAGGAAGAGTTTTTGCTTAGGGCATTGAGTTTTCGTGAATGGTGGTGGACTGCTTTGGAAAAGGATGTCAGTAATGGTTGCATGCCGAGTATAGTCAGTGGCACCAAATTCTACATGTAGAAGGTGTTGAATTAGAGAATGTTTTGTTGTGTATATCTTCCTCCAGGTAAAAATTGATAAGGACATTAATAACGAGCACAAGGAAGAAGGAAATGTGCTAAATTGATTGTGGTAATGGCTGTATAAGTCTTCTTGATATGTCTGAAGTGTTGGATTGTGTGATATGTGGGAGGAGTGCCAATAAAACTGTCTAAAAGAAGAAGAACCATTCTGTCAACATTCCACGTCATAAGGCACAGTAAGAAGAGCAGCTCCTGAGCAAGGAAGGCCCTCTCCTAAGTGGGGGGGGGGGGCTGACTGGGATTCCCACACACCACTTTTGAGCACAGGCTGTCCTGACTTGTCTTCAGTCTCCTTCTCAATAGTGTACCTTATCAAGTAGGGAACAGACCCCAAACATTCAGCACCCCAAAGCCAAACTCACTGCCAAGGGATGAGTCATAGTGACCCCATAGGACAGAGGAGAACTGCCCCTTTGGGTTGATTTCCAAGTCTGTAATTTTTTTTAAACTTTTTTATTGTGAATTAGTTGATAGGGAGCCTACCTATCAGATCATCATTTGGGCACTCAACCACTTATCAACCCTCCCCACAGCTTGCGCTACTCTCCCTGCCTCTTTCCACACACCCCTCTCCCTCTTATAGAATATTGTCTCCCCCTTCATTCACATGAATACCTATCTACCTTCTCAAAAACGACCCAAAAAAAACCCTCACACACACACACACACACACAAAAAAGGAGTCAATTTGAACTCACAGTGACCCTATAGGACAGGGTAGAACTGCCTCTGTGGATTTCTGAAACTGTAACTCATTATGGGAGAGGAAAGCCTCCCCTTTTTCCCAAGGAGCAGCTCATGGTTTTGAGCTGCTGACCTTGTGGTTAGTGCCCAATGCTTAACCACTACCCAGAAAGCCTTACCTTTCTCCCTCTGAATGACCAAGGGCGTTGAAGTGCTGACCTTGTGAGCAACCCAACTTCTAACCCACTGCACCACTAGGGCTCCTAAATCTGTACCCCAAGTCATGTTGGGAGCCATGTTGGGAGCAAGGCCAGGTGCTGGACTTTGAGCATTAGTCTATCGTATGATGATGAGAAGAGACAGACGCAGAATAGGCAGCTTGCTTTATTCCTGAATAAATCCAGCTTATTTTATTCCTTGCATGGCCAGCTTGCTTTATTCCTTACTTTATTCCTGTCTGTGGGATATGCGGCTTGCTTTATTCCTGAAATAACTCTGAGTTAAAACTACCTTCCAAACTCAAACAGACCTCCACAGAGAAGATCACTTGGGCTCCACACCACTCTTTTCTACTGTGATTGGGTGACTTAAAGTTTAAGAGGGTGGGTGTTTGAAGGAGGCAATTATGAAAATTGCCCCAACCCTCTAGGCTCCAACATAATTCAGAGAATCCTCTTCTTTTCTTTTTGTTTTCTCTGGTTCTTTTACTTTTTCCTCCTAGCCCCCACTTCAGAGAGTCCTCCTCCTCATCTCTTTCTCTGCAGTCCCAGTCCTGTCATCTTGCAGTGAAGTGAGACTTCCTCATGAAACCGAGCCCTTCCTGTCCGCATCGATGTTCAATACCCAGTACGTCCAAGCGCTACTTAAAGTACACAGGAAGCTGTTTCAATTACCACACACATTGAGGTGGAAACTTTATCCTCCCACTCTACAAAGTCGGAAAACGTTGGCGGGTTGCCGACTCCCCAACACCCAAATCAATAACAACAGACCACAGGAGTTTTTTTATTTCTGGCTCTACACACACACACACACACACACACACACACACACGCACACGCAACCACAACACAAAGCCATTTACAATGATTTTCCTTTATTGTGCTTCACGGGGCACCCAGAGGTGCCGAAAGAGAGAGAGAGAGAGAGATCCATGAAGTCAAGAACATACGGATGAACCCCGCCAGCTCCCCCTGGCCCTGCGTGAGGTCAGGCCCTCGCTCTCCTGGTCCAGTTCCCTGCTTCGGGCAAGGAGGTTATCAGAAGCGTCCTGCCCAGCCGTGGCCGCCATCACTGAAGGGCCTCCCGATACTGGTGCATCAGGTCACTGACATCCGTGCTCTCCACCTTTCTCCAGCCATCTTTCTGCATGTGGTACACTGGAAGCACATGGGAAGAGCACACGCGTCGTCTCTCACTTCAGGATGTCCCTGTTCATGATGCTGTGCTAAAGGTGGCACATACACACACACTCCAAGCCCTTATTACTGGGACCTCTCCTGACTCTGATCCCTCCCGCTGAATGTTTCCGTCTTAATACACACACACACACACACACATACACACACCCAGGGGATGGGATGGGGAACATGATGGGGATAGCACTGGTCACTTACTATTGACCACGCCTCCGGAATAGCAGTCTCTGTGAGTGGCATGAACAATAGCCCTGCGGCCCAGGTCATAGGCCTCTTCCGGGGTAAGATTATGCCGATAGCCACTGTCCATGACCCCATAGGCATAAGTGTTCCCACTCCCAGTGGAGAACATGTTTCCCGAGAGCCGAGTCCCATTGTCATCCACATAGTAGAGTCCAGGGCCCTGTGGGATGAAAGAAGAAAAGGCCAGGTTGGCATTGGAAAAAAGAGGGCCGCTCACCGAGAGGTCCCGGTGCGAAGCATCCAACAGTGTGCACAGGAATGGAAATCAGCACAGAGATATTGGTGTGGGGATTAGCACTATAGGACTTTGGAAATTAAAAAGCAAAGACATTATGAATGAGGGGGAGAGTGGAGTGGAGACTCAAAGCCCATCTGTAGGCAACTGGACATCCCCTTACAGAAGGGTCACAAGGAAGAGACAAGCCAGTCAGGGTGCAGCATAGCGTTAAGAAACATACAACTTTCCTCTAGTTCTTTAATGCTTCCTCCCCTCCCCACCCCCACCCCCACTATCATGAGCTCAATTCTGTCTTACAAATCCAGCTAGACCAGAGCATGTACATGGGTACAGATAAGAGCTGGAAACACGGGGAATCCAGGACAGGTAAACCCCTCAGGACCAATATTGAGAATAGCCATACCAGGAGGGTAAGGGTAAGGTGGAGGAGAATGGGGAACCAATCACAAGGATCTACCTATAACCCCCTCCCATAGGGATGGACAACAAAAAAGTGGGTGAAGGGAAACATCGGTCAGTGTAAGACATGAAAAAATAATAATTTATAAATTATCAAGTGTTCGTGAAGTAAGGAGGGTGGGGGAGGGAGGGGAAAATGAGAAGCTGATGCCAAGGGCTCAAGTGCAAAGAAGCTGTTTTGAAAATGATGGTGGCAACACATGTACAAATGTGCTTGACACAATGGATGGATGGATGGATGGATGGATGGATGGATGGATGGATGGATGGATGGATGGATGGTGATAAGAGTTGTACGAGCCCCTAATAAGATGATTTTTAAAAACAAACTAACTGGAAAAAGCAAAGACACCCTAAGAATCATCTGGCTTATCCAAAGTGGCAAGCTTATGAAGCACACACAGAGTTGGGGTGGACCGAGAAGTGGCCCAAGAATACACCGGAACAACAACCTCTGTGCCATGGGTCTCGCAGAGGAAGGAACGCGGTGTACGAAGTGGGGAAAGGTCTTTCGGCCGCGGGCGGGGAAGCATGCGGAATGGAGAGCACCCACCTTCTTGTCCCAGCCGCAGATCATGCTGCCCATGGAGAGGCCCATGCCCCGGTACTGGCACATCATGTTGGAAAGCAGTTTGGAGGCTGCTGACACCGAGATTCGCTCCCCGTTCCGAAGGTAGTACAGCCTAGTGAGCAGGGAGGGGGGTCAGCTGAGTGGCCCACTTGATGGGGCGGGGAAAGATTGGAGACAGAAGTATTTGAAAGGGCATGATTGTGTAGGGTCTGTGAATCAGGGTAGGCCTTGGACCCGCTACCTGCAAGGTCTGTGGTTCAAACCTACCAACTGCTCTTCAGGAAAGATGAGGCTCTTGGCCCCCATGAAAGATTTACAGTCTCAAAAACCCTACATTGGATTGCTGTTGAAATTTAAACTACCTAAGTAGACGCTCTCACTGCCATCCAATCAATTCTGACTTATAGCATCCTATGGGACAGGGTGGAACATCACATCTGCTACATGCTATCCTAATTGTCCGTCGCCTAGGGAGGGTTTCAGGGCTGTAGGCAGGAGGCTGGGGGGTCCCCTCTCTTGGGGAACATCTTGCTAACAGAAATTCCTGTTTGGTGAAGAGGGCCCAGCATCTAAGCAGAGGGTCTTTTAAGGTCCAGAAAAGGAAGGTGTGGTCGTTACATCATTTCGGGTCAACTTGAAGTGCTAGGGTCAAGTCTAGCCTGATGGTGCCTCTTGTGGGCATGATCTCCTCATGAGGAGGATCCTGAGAACCTCCCCCTTTCTCTCTGCCCGCTTCCTGTTGTGGAGTTACGCTGGGACCTGCAAGAGTCCTGGAGATGTGTCTGCCGTAATTGGATTCATGGGACTTTGCACCTAATGGTTAGTGATGCTCCTGCATTCTGCATCATTGCTTGTGGTTGTGTGAGTCTCAAGAGGGACTTGTGGACTCGTATTGGACTTACGGACTCATAAAGACATATGTACTTGAGTTGGACTGGGCTGGGATGTTATCTTGATAAAGAATGACCTCTTGATATAAAGCTCTTTCTTATACACCTCTGAGTGTCTCTGGATTTGTTTCTCTAGTCAACCCAGCCTAACACAGAAAGAAACATGAAAATTCATTACACTGACCCCTAAATTCCCGCCCGCTCTTCCTGGGTTTCTTTGGCTGCTGCAGAATGATCCTTTTTCTGACTTACTTCTCCCCCATGGCAGCCTTATCCCCTGAGGCCTGCTGTCTTTTTGTCTGTCCTGGAGGACTTGTCTACCTTTCCCGTTTTGGGTTTGCTGGGCGTGGGGGGCCTTCTTGCTGGACTCTTTGTCCACAGTCTTTTCCTCCCCCTCGGCTTGGGCCTCCAGCTTGGGTTTCTCTTCAGGCTTCTTGGTTTCTGGGGCCATTTTCTCCTTGTAATTCTTTTTCTCCAGTGTTGCTGGTGCCTCTTCCTTTTGGGGGGTTTCTGGTTCCTTCCCTACGGGTTTGCTGGGCTCTTTGCCCTTGGCATCACCTGGCTCTTTTGGGCCATGGTACCCTTCTCTTTGGGTTGAGCCTCTTCCTCACCAACACCTTGGCAGGAGCTTCCTTCTGTTGGATCTCAACTTCTTTCTTTTCTTCAATCTCTTCCTTCTTGACTTTAACTTTAGGTTCTTTGCTCTCTACAGCAGGTCCCTCTTCTCCTCAACCTCGGGTTCGGGAGCCTCCTTCTCCCCCCCTCCTTTCTCTTCCTCCACCTTCTCTGGGGGCTCTTTGACTTTAATCTCCTGGGGTTTCTCCTCTTCTTTCCTGGGGGGCTGCACCTCTTCCTTCTCTGAGACCCCCTTCTCAGGAGCTCCGACCTTTCCTGGGGACTTGACTTCCTCCGTAATAGGCGGTTTGGCCTTCTCAGGGGACCTGACGTCTGCAGGACACCTTGCTTCCTCCTTTATTGGGGTCTTCACTTCTGGGGAGTCCACATCAAAGGTCTTGATCTTCTTGGGGGACTTGGCATCTTCCTTCACGGGGGACCCTGGCCTCTTCTGGGGACTTGGCCTCAGCTGGCACTGTTGCTTCTCCCTTCCCAGGAGATTTGGACTTCTCCGGAGATTTAATCTGGCCTCTTCCTTCTCTGGGGATTTGCCTTCACCTGGAGGTTTTTTGTCTTCCTTCGCAGGGGACTTGACCGCCTTCGCCAGAGACACGCCTACTTCTGCTACAGGGTATTCTGCTGCTTCTACCCGTCTGCTTCTTCCTCCTTGGCTCCTTCTTCTTCTGTCGCTTCTTGGATTACTTGGATCTCCTCCGTCTATTCTTCTACAATCCCTGGGCCTTCTCTGACTTTTCTACCACCTTGTTTGTCTCTTCACTTGTTACTTCTGAGCGGTTCACTAAGGTGGTGCCCTGGGCGCCGAGCGCACGTCGTCTACGTTCACTTTGGCTGCCTCCGACGGTCGGCCCAGCCACACTCGGAGCCACTCCTCGGACGGCAGCGTGCTGTGCACTGCGTGGCCCTCGAGGAGCGCGCGAATGTCGATGTCACCTCGCACTTGAGCGCATCGCACACTCCGGTCTGCGCCTGCGCGCGCCAAGCCCTGGCTCCTGCCAGCTACGCTTGTGCACCCGGCGCCGCAGCTCTTGGCCCGCGTTCAGACCCCGCGGTCGCTCCTCCGCGCTGCGCCCTCCATCGCCGCCACCGTGCCGCCCTCTCCGGGAGGCGCACCCACAGTGCCAGCGAGTAGACAAGGCCTCCGCCGCCAGCGGGCAGCGGCGCGAACGGGGCGCCCAGCAGCTCGCGGCCAGAGCAGGTGGGGGCTGCGGGTGCGAGGGCGAGAGAGCTGGGCCAGGGCGGACTGCCCAGTAGCAGTGCCAGGATGCCCGCCTTTACAGCCCCGGGGCCCTGCTTGGCCAGCCCCTTGGCAGTGGAGGATGGGGTGGGTGGTGGGGAGGCTGGGCGCCACCCTCCCGCTCCCCACCCCTTGCTCAGGGCTGGCCCACCCCATTTGTGTGTGAAGGGGGGGAAGGGAAAATATATTATATATGTGTATATATATATATATATATATATATATATATATATATATATATATACACACACACACACACACACACACAAAGCATCCCTAACAAATGGCACTTCCCACCAGAGTTCATGGTGTGGCTGATACCTAATTGGCTAAATTAGCTGGAGCCCATACCGAGATTTAGGAGGAGGGTTTTTAACCCCTAAGGCTCTTTTGTGAAATTCGTTTTTAGCGCTAAGCAGAAGCACAGGGGGAGGGGGAGGAGCAGACCACTGGGAAAGAAAGAGAGGTGAGAGGTCTTGCTCACCTGCACTCTTTGGCCAACAGGCGCTCCCAATACTGACAGTCAGCCGCACAGCCAGACATGGTGCCCAGCAGGTATGGATTAATCTCTATCACCTTGTTCACCAGTAGACTGCCTGGAAGAAGATGGGGTTTGAGAAAGGTCAGATATGGTCCCCTGCTCTCCCTGAGGACCCTAAATCAATATCATTTCCTAGTCTATGGCAGATGCTGGGCTCCTACTGAGAGAATAGCGCCCCGCTTTCCGGAATAAGGCATAGTGGGGTGCACACACTCACTAATATAGCTCCCAGATGAAGCCCTGGAATCCACTGCCACAATCACTCCGTGCTGGAACTTGAAGGCCAGTGTGGTGGTGCCGTGGGCCATCTCAATCGGAACCTTCCTTTCTCTGTCCCCACCGAGGGCCCGGAAGAATTCAGTGGGCTGGTGAAAGACAAGAGTAGAGAAAGGGACGCTGATAACTTTTGTGGTAGGAGGGTCCAGGGAAGAAGTATTAGAGAAGATGGGGTGAGGGGCCATGGAGAAGTTCCCCGACTTTCAATGCAGTTCAGAACCAGTCTCCCGGAGGAAATGGCTTCAAACAGTGGTTCTCAACCATCCTAATGCCCTGGCCCTGTAATACAGTTCCTCATGTTGTGGTGACCCCCTCCCCACCATAAAATTCATTTTGTTGTTACTTCATCACTGTAAGTTTGCTACTGTTATGAATAGGATGAACCCTATTCATAGGGTTCGTTCGACACACACACACACACACACACACAAAGGGGTCGTGACCCACAGGTTGAGAACCGCTGGCTTGGCGCAAAAGGCAGGAAACACCAACGTTTCATTTTCCAGTGGAGTAGAAATGAAAGCAAGCCAACGTCATCCTCACCAAGAGTGATCGTCGTGTTTTCTCAATGAGAGCTCATTTTAACCATCAATAGGGTCCCCATTTTACGAGAGAGGGTTCTGAGAACCCCACTGCATATGCGACTGGATCAACTCCCATCACAGTGACTTTCTGAGGCGAGACCAGGCGGGCTGCCAAAAGTTCACAGGTTTTTCAAGCCCTGTGATAAGTCCCCGCAAAAGGCTACGTGATTTGCGAGCGGTGGAAAAGGGACTTAGAGCCTCTTCTTCCGTGGGAGCCCCCACCCCATCTCTAAGCCTTTGTCCACCCTCTCCTCTGCACTTCCGAACCCTCGGGAGCCCAGCGCCCCAGACCCACGTGGCCTTGCCAGGGGCCCTGGGTTCTTCCAGGCAGCCTGGACGCTGCCCGCTGGGCCTAGTGGACGCCCCCCAGGGCGCCAGCCCCGCCACAGAGTAACCCCCAAGCAGCCCCTCCATTCTTCCGTGCCCGCCTGCCCGCGCCCTCGCTGCGTTCCCAAACAGCCCCAACCTGCATTCCCCGGGGGAGCGCGAGCTCCAGACACCGCGTAGAGAAACTGTAGTGTCCGGGGTCCGAGTGGCGGCTGCCTCCCACTCCGGGGAGAGCCCAGTCTCCGCTTTGCCTCCGGGGGGCTCCGCACACCTCCAGGAGCGCCATGGCCGCCGGCGCCCGAGCTCTGCGGGCTCTGGCACAGGAGGAAGTGAAAGCGAAAGCCTGTGTGCACAGGGGAGGGGACCCGGGTTTTATGGCTGTTGTTTGTGCACCTCCACATCCCCCTGGCCTTGAAGAGAAGACGCCGGCGGATGTCAAGGGGCCGGAGATGATGGCACGTTAGAGACGGACTTCAGGGCGCCAGCTGGGGGAAACGATGGGGAGTGGGCTGTCGGAAGAAAGCAAGAGACGTCTCTGGGGACAGTTAAGGAGGGGGCAGGGGGTCGCACCCTGCAGAGCCTGCGGCAGGAAGCTGGAAGCCAGCTGGCGGCCGGGGAGCAGTCTGGAGGAGCGAAAGGGGGATGAGGCTCGGGAGGCTAACGGGAGCATCCTTGGTAGAAGTTGGGGTAGGGTGGGAATCGGTGGGGGGCGGGGTGTTCAGGGACACTATGCCCAAGAATGTAAGGGGAAAGGAGCGCTAAGGACAGGATACAGTCTCTAGATTTTTCTAGGTGGTTCGCATAGGGCTTTGTTCAACGGTCCTCCTAAGCTGTAACCAGAGCACGCTCCCTCCGCCCGCCCGGCTTCCGCAGATAATTCTTCCCCGCCGGGCCCGGGTGAGTAACTCTTAAACTCCGCCCCTCCTCGCAACCTGTGCAGGCCTAATCTGCCCAGCAACCGCTTACATCACGCTCTGCTCCTCCCTGAATGGACGGTGAATGGAACCAACCACGCCCCCTCTTCTACAATTCCCCGAGCAGAAGTGGTGCTACTTTGCAGCACGGCGATCGCGGAAAAGACCAGAGAAGGCTAGGTAGTGCAGAAGAAAGACACCTCGACTCCATCTCAGAAAGTCCACGGTTCGGAGCTGCGGCGGCTGGCACCCTTAGGGGCGCTGTCTGGGGTCCTGCCCGTCTTTGATGGACATCGTCTGGAAGCCATAGGGATCCTGTACTCAATCAGAAAACTGGAAGGTGGCTCACAGGCCAGGAGTAGTAGGGAAGGGAGGCTCGAATACGCATCATTTCATGAAGGAGCATCAAAATCAAAGCTCCTAAGCCCTGTTAAAGGAGGCCAGGCCCTTGGGTGCCTTGTTTTCATGCTAGCTGTTTGAAAGGATCGGGTGCTACACTAAGCAGGCCTGATATTTGGAAGGGACGGGCTAAGGCCGACAGAGAGGCAGGAATACTGGGCAGAATAAAAAACATGATCATTCCTCGGTGCTACCCATTTCTGTCCTGCGTGAGCTGCTTAGTCAGGGAGCAGGAAAAGCAAACACACTGACAGCCATCGTGAAAACAACCTTCCGTGTTTTGTTCCAGGGAAGCAGTTGACAAGTGCCCTCATTCCTTTTCCCCAGATCCATTCCGTGCCGGAGAGCAGGAGAATGGACGGGGTGGACAGTGGTCTTGGTGCCTCACAGTTATTCTGCACTGCTTATGCATGTAATCCTTCTCGTGCCTAGTTCCCTTCGGTTAGTGGGTTTTCCATAGTCTAGGCGTTGTCCTTAATCAGTTGTACCACCTAAGGTGACTGGATGCAAAACACAAGTGCCCACTCACGGTCTGGGCCTTCCACACCCTAGCTTTGGCACATTCCTTCAAGGATGTAGACCGTGTGTCTGGGAAGATGTCGGTGTAAATGTGAGGAATATGGGCATGGGACTAGACTTTGGTTTGTCACAAGTGGCTGCTGCCTGTATCAATTACCATGATCTTTATGAATTTTGCTTGTCATTCTTCAGTTCCCCTCAACTCCCCTCTGTTGAAGTGCTGGCTGTAATGTTGCCATAGGGACGTGTGGGGAAGGGGGGGAGGTGAGGGGACTGCTTGCTCAGTGTGCTGCTTTAAGTTTCTAAACGAAGCCATATCGTCACCCTTATATTAAAGTGTTCGTCTGCCTCTCAGGGAAATCCAAACTCCATCAGCTGCTGAGAGCATCTTGGCTTTTGATATACAGTGAACCCTCGTTTACCGCGGTTAATCGGTTCTAGACCCTACCGTGATGAATGAAATTCCGCGAAGTAGGATTCCTTATTTGTAAATCAAATATTTTCGTAGTTAGAGCATAGAGGACATGAAAAAACACCCTTTAGTCACCATTACACTCGTATTACCCAATTTATTAAACGAAAAAGGGAAAATACAGTAAAACATTTTGCACGTTACAATTATCATTTATTATTTATTATATTATTTATGGCATCTAGTTTACAGTATTACATATTTCACATACAGTATTATTATACATAGTTCTTACAAATACTGTAATCAATGGCGTGCAACCTCCACGATTTTCTTGCCATCTTTGATCATATCCAAAAGTTTTACCTTTTCCTGGATGGTGAGCATCTTCCTCTGGCGCTTAATTTTATTGTCAGAAGGCTTAGAAGAAGCAACTCGTTTAGGAGCCATCATAGGGCTTAGATAAAATTTCTTAAAAATCGCAAACAATTACAGTACACTGTACAAAAGCAAAAATGCATCTGATACGTAGCTCCGATACGTAGCGATGCAGACAGAAGCGTGTACAGTATGAGCCAATCAGTGGCAGTCATGACAGAGCATGCGCTGTTACGCAAAAACCGCGATAGAGTGAAGCCGCGGAAGTCGAAGCGAAGCGCGAAGTGGCGAGGGTTCACTGTAACTTCAATCTGCAGTTGGCCTTCAGGATGCCCTGTGGCACGCCAGTCTGTGATGGCACTAAAGGCCTGCTAAAGTTAAAGCATCGTCAGCACATGCAGGCTGGACCTGATCTTTTCCAAAATTTTCTGTGGTTTTGGTTTGTACTGTTTGGTCCACCTTTTGATTCTTCGTATTGGAGTGTATCTCAGAGGTGTAGGTCAATGGAGGTCACCCTCTTGAAGCTGTCTTATATGCTTTTCCATTTTTAAGTATATGACACCCAGGATTAATGGACCTATAGGGACAGCAAGTAGAATAAGGGGTTTGGGGAGAGGGGGTACAGTGGGGGGGTGTTGGGGAATAAAAGGGAGACAATGTCATGGAGTCCATGAAAAAAAGGAATGTTTGGAAAGTGATTGTGGTAGCAATTATACAATTCTGCCTGACGTGTTTGAAATAAGGAATGATGTGATATATGTGTTAGATCCCAACTAAAGAAAAAATACAACCATAAAAAAAGACCTGTTAAAACACTAAGCTCAACTTTATTTTAATTAAATCATTTTAGTTAGCAGCCCATCATGTAACCACCACACCACCATGGACATTCAATTAAATCATTTTATTGGGGGCTTCTACAAATGTTATCACAACCCACACATACATCCATTGTGTCAAGAACTTTTGTACATTTGTTTCCCTCATCATTCTTAAAACGTTTGCTTTCTACTTGCGCCCCTGGTATCCGCTCCTCATTTTTTCCCTCCCTCCCTGCTACCCCCTCCCCCATGAACCTTGATAATTTATAAATTATTATTGTTTTGTCATATCTTACACCGTCTGACGTCTCCCTCCACCCACTTCTCCACTATCCATTGCCCAGGGAGGAGGTTATATGTAGATCTTTGTAACTGTTCCCCCTTTCTCCCTCACCTTCCCTCTAGCCTCCCAGTATCACCACCCTCACTACTGGTCCTGAGGGGTTCATCTCTCCTGGATTCCCTGTGCTTCCAGTTCCTATCTGTA